AAGCCGCATCATCATTGAGCATTTCGCCACCACAGAGGACGCCGAGCTCATGACGAACACGGAGCTCGTTACCTACTACAACTCCAAGCTCAATCACAACCCCACCCAGGTCGAGCTGAAGCCAGATCTTGTCCCGAGCATTGGTCAGGTGTCAGAGCTTTTTGCTACCCTCAAGCGTCGGAAAGCACCAGGTCGTGATGGTATACTTCCTGAGCTTCTCCTTGCTGCACCTAGGACACTTGCACGCATCTACCACCCGATCCTGGTGAAGTGCGCCCTCCACCAGCAGGGGCCCTACGCGTGGAAGCACGGCATAGTACATCCTCTCCATAAAGGTGTGGGTCCTGACCACGATCTTGCCTATTTTCGTTCGATCCTGCTCAACCCGATTATTTCCAAACTTTGGCATAAGTTCATCAGGAGGCAGCTTGCGACTTATCTCCATCATCTTCTTCATGATACTCAATGTGGTGGTCAAGTACGCCATGGTCCTGCTCAACTTATCCACTTGGTACATTCATATATAGCAGGGCTTCCTCGGTTTGGTGCGGATGGCATCATTGTGTTCCTCGACTTGGTCTCTGCCTTCTACTCCACTGTTCGGCATCAGGTCCTCCCTGCCTTGCATCTACATGACGATGAAGACTACGTCCAGCAGCACCACGACTTCCCCATCGCCATGCTGCCGATGGTGACCTTTGTTCTCTCTCAGCCGGCAGCGATTGACAAGATCGAGCATGAACCACACCTGATTGCATTACTCATTGAAGCTCACCGTGCAACGCATTTCGGCACTCGTGAAGGTGATCTAGTTGCTCGCTCTCGGCGGGGGAGCCGCCCAGGTTCGGCGTTGGCTGATGCCATATTCAATCTTGGATTTGCCGCCCCTCTCGCACTGGCCCGCGACAAGATGCGCGCCTTGCGCCTCTCTACAGCGATTACTATGGCCGAGAACGAATTGATTTTCTCGCGCTCCGCTGAGCAGGTCGAGCTGGCGGACGCCTCCTTCGTCGACGATGCGATCTTCTTGGGCTGCAACCATTCCGACAGCTCCACCGTCGACATCGCTGGTCAGCTGCTCGACGACATCCACCTCGTCATGGTTTCCCACGGCTTCCAAGTCAACTACAAGCGCTCCAAGACCAATGTCATGCTCATCCCGCATCGCCGAGACTCTGAGCTTTTCCGACTGGTTAACCAAGAAGGCGAGCTTTTTTTTTTTTTCTGTTTTTTTTCTATCTTGTTTTATGAAAAAGAGAATTTTTTTTCTATTTTTTTTTTTTGTTTTATTGTTTTTTTTTTTTTTTTTTTTTTACTATTTGTTTTTCTTTTTTGCTAATTAATTTGTTTTTTTTTTTTGGTTTTGTGTCTTCTTCGACTTTTTTTTTTTTTTGTTGTTTTTTTGTTTTTTTTTTGTTTTTTTTTTTTTTTTTTTTTTTTTTTTTTTTTTTTTTTCTTTTTTTTTTTTTTTCTTTTTTTTTTTTTCTTCATTTTTTTTTTTTTTTTTCTTTTTTTTTTTTTTTTTTTTTTTTTTTTTTTTTTTTTTTTTCGTGTTTTTTTTTTTTTTGTTTTTTTTTTTTTTTTTTTGTTTTTTTTTTTTTTTTTTTTTTTTTTTTTTTTTTCTTTGTTTTTTTTTTTTTTATTTTTCTTTTTTTTCAGACACCCTTTTTTTTTTCTTTTTATTATTGGAATCTACAAGTGCATCTCACAGAGTCCTACAAGTACCTGGGTACGCCTATCGATGTCCAGGCCAAGAACTCGCATAAGATTAAGTTCGCTATTTATTTTTTTTTCACTTGTTTTTCTTTTTTTTTCTTTTTTTTTATAATTTTCTTTTTTTTGTTTTTTTTTGTTTTTTTTCGCTATCGCAAAGCAAGCTCAGGCGTTTGGTCCTATTAAGCGTATGATCAAGAAGTTTCCTTCTACGACAGCGATAAGCCACACGTGTTTGACCGACTCGATGTGCAACATCCATTTGCTCTACTCGACTGAAGTGTGGAACAACCTTACGGCGAACGACTTCAAGATGCTGGATTCACCGCGTATTTCCTCCTATCGGGTACTACAAGCTCGCAAGCACCATGCTGGCAGCCTTCGTCATTTCTTCGATGAGGAAGTCCTTGTGAAAGCCATGCGCACTCCGCTGCATACGGTTGTTAGGCGTCGTCGCCTTATCTACTTTTGCACATTGTTTGCGAATGCTCCCAAGATCCTATTTGCCATGGTGGACTTCGTCGCGGGACTGCCTGGCTCTTGGACGTCCCTCTTGCAGCTCGACCTCCAGTGGTTGGATGAGTACGACAAGCAGACCGAGCCCACCACATTGTCTTCAGCCTTCCAGCACATTCAGAACGATCCGCATTCCTTTCGTCTTCGAGTAGGCCGTGCATGGCGAAGGTTTCGAGCCGCCGAACTTGACAGACTACGTCTAGTTGCATTACTTCGACATCTTCAGCGGGTGCTTGATAATTCAAAGACGGCGACAACGTCCACAGGGTTCATATGTTACCAGTGTGGGGCTGTTCTTCTTACAACAGCCAGTTGGAGGATTCATTTGCTACGGCGCCAGCCGCTCGACCTTGCCCAGCGCTTTGCTTTCGACAACACGTGTCGCTGCTGCACGACTAGATTCAGCGATCGTGCCAATCTCATTAGACATTTGCGCCGCCCAGGTAACCGTTGTTTCTACTGGCTGTTGGAAGCTCTCGTTCCTCTTGATCAAGAATCCGCTGCTCAACTACACCAGGAAGACTTGGTTCATCAGCGCGTTCTTCAGCGTCAAGGTTACCATCGGACTCGTGTCAGGATTCCTGCATGTCATGGCGGAGAAGGCCTCAGCCCATTCGAGTATATTCCATTGGAGGCACCCGCTGTGCTGGTAGATGTTGAGCCTCCGTTGGGACGGGTACTGCGACGACATCTTTGGAAGCAAGGCGAGCCTGCCAAAGTAGTCTACATTACCACGGTCACGACAACCACTTTCGCATCTTGGGTGACTTCAGCGCTCTCTATTCCATGTCAGTGCATCGCCGTTGATAGCTTCACAGATTCTGCCACGGAGGTCTTATACTTGGAAATGATGCAAGGAGGAGTATTTGCCCTCTTCATTGAGACCGATCTTCCAGAGTGGTCTCGCGACCTTGACCTCCTTGAGCAAGGCCAGCAACCTCGAAGAGATGATCAATGGCGCCCGCACTGGACGGCAAAAAGGCAGCATCATCTTTATCGGGAAAATGAAATACTTACACGCGCCTTGTATATGATCGCCACAGCCCGTGCCATGGGCGTTCCTGCGGCGTTGATTGGCGGGAAGCATGTACTCCATCGTGCGATATCTCCTCGCACCGACATTCGGACGCTGCTCGAGCCCATGGGTATCCAGTTCACAATCCTTGACCAGCACGACTACGATGGTGGCTCTTTTGACCACCTCCTCCTGATCAACACGCACCTGAACCTAGAGGCGCTGTCCCGTGTTCCGCAGGGTGCAGATGTTCGTGCAGGTCGGCTCCAAGTCCGACCAGGCATTCATCGTCTTCTGATCGGCGCGCTCTTTATGACCACATCGTGGATTTCCCATCGTAGCCGAGTAGATATTTGAGCCTGTTCTTGCTGTGGCGGTGGAGGAGGTTTTGTGATTTAGTTGGCGGAGGAGGAGAAATCGTATTCGCCACCCCCTTGGCGGCCCCTCGTGTACGAAGGCCTTACTCGTGCTCTGCGCTACCACGGAGTAGTTGAACTATCGAGGGGCCGACCAAGGGGGAGGCCGCGTGGCCTTCTGTAGGGGACGGGGAGGGCACGGGAGGCGCAAGTGGTAAGGCGGGTGAAATAAACCGTCGAGCGCCACCCCAAGCCTCCCCGTCCCCCAAATTCGTGCTGAGCTCACTCGTCGTCCTGGCGGCGTGCTACCAGGGGCGAGCCTTGCCTTCCCTCTCTTCACATCATCTACGTCATGTACTTCCTGTTGCTCTCCTTCTCTCGCGCGTAGCCCGTTCGAGCAGGAGGCCCTTGCCGGCCCTCGAGACCCGTGCGGGCTCGACGGTTGGCGTGAGCGTCCTTTCTGAGACGCATGCTGGAGCTGGCGAAGGGCGTTGATCCTGTTTTGGAGTCTACTTGTCCGTCGTGTGTACCCGCCAGCTCCAGGTTGCGCCTGCCTTGCCAGGAGGGTGTCCTCCATACTGTGCTTGTGCTTTGCTTGCCACTGGGCGCTTGGCTAGGCTGCCTCCCGTGTGCGCGGGGAGGGGTCGCCTGGCCAGGCGCTCACTGACGCTACAGGCGGTGGACCGCCTCGGAGCTCGGCTAAGAAAGAAGAGGAGGAGGAGGAGGAGGAGGAGGAGGAGGAGAAAGAGGAGGAGGAGGAAAAGGAGAAGGGGAGGAGGAGGAGGAGGAGGAGGAGGAGGAGGAGGAGGAGGAGGAGGAGGATATTGCAGGTCTCATACTGTGGGCCCAGGGCCCGCGGCAGCATCGTAGACACTGCTATGGTTCCTGGGCAGCAGCGCCGCCCCGAATGCAGATGTCAGTCAGCCCTTGGCCGCCTCAGCATGCGCAATTGGCCAACCTGTTGGTATCGTTGGACCTTTGCATTCGCTTTGTGTTTGATTCGAAGAAGACGAAGACGACGATGCAGACACGGCATAAACATAAACTTTTGACGCTCCGCGCGGATTTCTTGGATCTTTGTTGGGGGCCCCTGGCGGCGCCTCAGGCGCCGTCCCTGGCGCTGTCCGCGCGTCAGGCAGAGGGGTCCAGCGCAGATCAAAGAGATCCGCGCGGAACGCCAAGAGTTCATGTGAGTGGTGTTTTTGTTTTGCTCTAAATGAAGCTCTTTTTTGAACGCTGAGAGACAGGGAGAGAGTCCACACCATATCTATGCGAAATTGCTGATGTTCGGGAGGGAGAGAGGAGAAGGAATTGAGTGAGAGGCAGCGCGAGGCGACTTCTCTCAATTAGGCTGCAAGGACATACCAGGAGCATCTTCGCATCTCGTGCTAAGCTTGGAGGTACTACCCGCTCTGCGTCAACCGGGCAACCAGCTGGGCAGGCACCCTGTGCATGTTTCTGCCAAGTTCCTTCGCTTAACCTCCTCCTCCTCGTCATCCTCATCATTGATTATCCTCCTTGATGCCTTCCTGGGTTACTTCATGCGTCTGAGCGCGTGCTCGCTTCCATACGTAGCCTTACGAAGAGCAGTGGTGCGCTGTGGATCCTGACACATGCATCACTGCACTGCCTGTGGATCCTGACACATGCATCACTGCACTGCTCGCGTTCGCATAACATATATATATACACATACATATATATATATATATATATGTATATATACATTGATTTATGTATATGTATAAAAATGCGTATGCATATGTATATGTACCTGTCCATGTCATGCTGAGCACATGCTTAGGCTACTAGTGGCAAGTATGGCATGTGATTGCGGTGCTGTCGTGGGTATCGGGGAACATGGGCAAACCACGTACGGAACCCGCCCCGCCCCCAAGTCGAAGTTTGCGTCTTCGGGTTAGGTTGGGGTGATCTGGTAGGTAGTCAGCGCTGGGCCCCGGGGATGCTGCACAGACCTTCTCGGCCAGGACGGCGTGTGCGGTATAGGTTCCCGCGCCGCGCCAGCGCGGCCGCAGCCCCTGCACGGTCGTTCTCAAGATGGGACATAGCAATCAGCGCCTTGGCATCGATCGATCTGGAACTCGAGTCACGGCATCGGAAAGCCTCGATCGCTCGAGCTTTAATCGAAACAGAAGCACACCACAAACACGAGCGTTTGGTGCTCCGCGCGGGTTTCTTGGATCCGCGCTGGGCCCCCCCCGGCGGCGGCCCCGCGCGCCAGGGAGGCGGGCCCAACGCAGATCCAAGAACTCCGCGCGGACCATCGAAAGTCGATGTTTATGCCGTGCGTTCGTCTTCGATTCAACGATCCGCGTAAAGAAAATAGCTTGAAATATCCACTTGTGATGACAGGAGCCCGCGAGCGGGCCGTCGCGCTACGACGGCGCCCAGGATGGCCCCGGCCCGGCGTGGCGGCGTGGGTGCAGAGGTGCCTCGCGCGCATGGCCCAGTGGTGCCGCTCGGCTGCCCGCATCAGGCCGCAACTCCTGGCAGGTCAACCTCAGCACCAGCGCTGGTATTTCCTTGGATCCCCCTGCCGAACCCGACGCAACCCGGCCGAATCCAGCCCAATCCCGTCGGCCTCGTGGCCCTTCAATCGGGCTCGGTACCCGTCAGTCGCTCCCACGAAGGTTTCCCAGGAATTGCCTCCTAGACTCTCACCGGGCTCTCGGCCCCCAAAGCCGCCAATCCCCGAGTTCCCAACCGAGCAGCTGACCTTTCAGAGAAGGGGAAGCTCGGGGATTGCCCCCCAGGGACGTGCCCCATGTCGAGGATGGGCGCCCCACCTCGTGGTTCGTGGTGCATCCTCGAGGTTGGACCCCGACCGTCGGGTGCTGCCAGACGTGTCCCTGGCCCAGGGCGGCCCCAGGATGCCCAAGGATGCCCCCAGGACCTCAGGATCGGAGGAGGAGGAGGAGGAGGAGGAGGAGGAGGAGGAGGAGGAGGAGGAGGAGGAGCACCCTCAGATCGGCGCAGCGGGCCCCAGGGCCTCCGGGGGCACCCAGCGGGCCCCACGGCTGGGGGCACCTGGGGCCAGGGACACCCTCGGCCCCCCCCGAAGCCGCCTGGCCCGTCGACAGCCCCCCTGGCGAGTCGGGGATGGGGGTCCGCGTGCCCCCCCGCCACAGCCCGTGTCCCGCCTTTTGCGCGCGCTGGCTCGACGTGATCTCGATTTAGAGCATCTACAGAGGTGGCATGCAGAAACACAGACGTTGGGCAGCACTCTGCAACTCTTTGGGGCAGACACTGGGCGCCGGCAGTAAACCGTCAACCAGAGTTACCGCTGGGGAACTCGTAGAGCTGTCCGAGCAGGACGCCTGTACAAATGATCGCATAATCGATTGCAAGGAGATTAGGTTTCCCCCTTGGACTCTCCTCCCCCTCCCTCTTCGCCTACCCCTGCCCGCCCGAGGCCTCCGGCGCCGTGATATGTCTCTCCTCGGCGTGGGCTTCCCAGCTCGGCATCGCTCGGACGTGTTTTTTGACGAGGAACCTCGAGGAGCATCCTGGATCATTTGGCGTGGGAATGTAGACACGTACGGGTCCGAAGCATGCACAAGGAATGGCTCATCTTCGGGGATGGAAAGAGTTGGTAGCTCTTCCGCGTCAGTGGGCCGGCGGAAGGCCGGCGGAAGTCAAACGAGGCCGCCTCCGCCATCGGAAGCTCGGCGGGAGGCGGCGGGAGTAGAAGGCGGCCTCCCGAGAGATGGCGAATCTTTCGGGCTCGCGTTTTTTGAGCCCGCCATACCTATGTCCGCATGATTCCAGGACTCCCACATGGGGTCGGAGTAGATGGGGCTGGAGGATAGCGCCGCATCGATGTTGAGCCCGATTTTCTGCTCGCCGACGTCGCCGATGCACCGCCGATGTCGACGATGCATCGCCATCTAATGGGACCCCATGTGGGAGGCCTCTTATGATTGGCATCACCTTATTTCCATGCTGATCTTAGCGATTCCCTCAGTTGCAGAGGGCGCATCCCTGAGGTTGCCATCGCCCAAAGGTACGCTTACCGGTTATGGACCCAGAGGTATCAGTACGGTCGGCATGGGTATGGAAGAATTGTGGTCGATGACGATAACCGACAGCAGTTCCCGCTCACTCTGAACAGGACTCGTTGTCGGCGTCGCCGCTCTCGTTGCCCAGGGGTGTGACGATGCACCAGCAGTGGCTGCTGCCAATACCAGACAGCACCTGCTGCTGGGCATCCTTCCCTTTCTGCTGTCCGTGCCCGTGCCGCGTGTGCCAAGGGGAGTCGTCGGTCCCCTCCTTTCAGGAGGGGAAGAAACACACAGACACAATTCGTTGTTGACTTCCAGGAAAATGCAGGAAACCATGGGAAGTGGGGGATGGAAGACAGAAGCCCAGACACTGCGGGAAGATGCGGGACATCCTGTGATTTGCGCATCATTTACTCGTGTGTGTCCCAGGGCCCCTTCATCCTCCCCAGGCCCTGACCCTAAAAACTGAGAGCCTATAAAGATTTAAATCCTAAAATCCCTTCCGCCGCCCTAAAGTCCCTCCTTCGGCCGCCCCCCCCCCATTTTGGCGCACCCCTCACGCAGATCCTTGCCCTCGCAGCGCCAGGAATGGCGTTCTGGGAGGATCTGCAAATCCCAGGGTGCGCCCCTCACGCAGATCCTTGCCCTCGGAGCGCCAGGAATGGCGTTCTGGGAGGATCTGGAAACTCCCGGAGTACCGGGAGTGGCGTTCTGGGAGAGCCTGCGAAAGTGCAGGGTATTCCCCTCGCCCAGACTCGTGGCAGACGTTCATGGCCTCGGTATGCCAGGCATGGCGTCAGTACTGTCCTTCGCGAAAGGTACGGGCGCGACCTCGACCCTTTCGGGTTGAGAGCCGCCCCCGTGCCCTTCCCCAGGGGCCGCCCCGTGGAGGCTGGACATGGCCCCCTGGGTTTCCGAGCGGATATGGCCGCCCCGTCGCGCGGTCACTCCGCGGCGCGCTCAAGCGCCACGGAGCCAGCGCGGCGGGGCGATCACGGCCGCCCAGAAGCCCCCCTCCCCCGGGAGCCTCTCGCCGAGAAGCTCTCGGAGGAAGGCGCTGCTGCGCCTCGTCGACGCGGCCTTCGCGCGCCGCGTCGCGGGGAGCGCGCTCGCCGAGCAACGAATTATTCCTCGCGCATCGCGTCGAGCTGGGTTCTTCGCGCGCGCACGCGTCGTATCGCCCATGCATCGGCCTTCGCGCGCCGCGTCGCGGGCAGCGATCTCGCCCAGCAGCGAATTATTCCGCGCGCCCCGCGTCGAGCTGGTTTATGCATCGCCAAGGCGTCGGTAAGTTTCTGCAGGGGGGTGGGGCTACTCGTTGTGGCGCCGCGCGTGCGCGCATCGCATCGCTCTTGCATCGGCCTCCGCGCGCCGTGGCGCGCGGGCCGCATCGCCGTTGCAGCCGCGTCCCAGGTGTCTTTGCGCGGCCGCGTCGTGGTCGTTTTGAAAACAATATCAACGTCGTCGTCATCGGTGTCGTCCTTGTCGTCGTTTTGCGAGTCGCGTGTTGATACCGCATCGAGATCAATATGTCTTGGGTCATGGGTGGGTGGGACACGGTCAAGTGGGCTGCAAGTTTGGGCGAGTGGACCCTAAACCCTAAACCCTTAGGGTTGCGGACGGCCTCGGTCGGGGCCTCCTTGCGAGGGCCCCGGGGCCGCGCTCCCTGCCCCGACCCTGCCGTCCCTGCCACGGCCGCGCGCGGAGGGCGGGGCAGGGCAGGGGCGGGGGAGGCTTCGCTCAGGGCAGGGGGTAACAAAATTGCACAGGCACAAGGATTCGTCGATTCCCAGGAAAGGATGGGAAACCATGGGAAGTGGGGGGAAGACAACAACCTCCGAAGCTATCGGAACACATGGGGCATCCCGTTATGTGTGTGTGTGTATTTGTGTGTGTGTGCGTGTGTGTCCCAGGGCCCCTTTTCATTCTTGGAAGCACCCCTGCTTCTCGGCAGGCGCGGGCTCGTCTCTGCAGATGCAGGGACGGTGCCCTCTGAGGAGCCGCCTCCGTCCAGGAAGCCTCCGTCCAGGAAACCTCCTTCCAGGAAGCCTTCCCCCCCCCCCTGCGCGCCGCCCACTTGCCTTGCCCTGGGGCCTTGCCTTGGGACCTTGCCTTGGGGCCAGGAGCAGGGGCCACCAGAGGCCGGCAGGCTGCTGCGCAGAAGCCGCCGCCGCTTGCGGTCTCGTCGCGGCGTCGTGACCGGGAGCTGCCGGGGCGCGCCCCCCTGCCAGGGCGCCCCTACATCCAGTGCTTCTGCGGGGCCCCTGGCATCTTCGACGGTGGGCTCCAGGAGCGCCCGGGAGGGGAGGAAGGGGGACGGGCCTGGTCGGCAGCGGGGCTCTAGAGAAGCATTTCGAGGAGGAGGGAGGACGAGGGAGGCGAGGGAGGAGGGGGAGGAGGAGGAGGAGGAGGAGGAGGAGGAGGAGGAGGAGGAGGAGGAGGAGGAGGAGGTGGTTAGGATCTTGTTTCACGCTTTTCGGCTTCACACTGCCCACGTCGGCTTCAGCTTTCAGGCTTCTCGATGCAAATGACTTCCAGCCATTGCCCATCTACAGTTAAGAGGATGTTCTTAAGGAGGAGAGCGTGGCGAGGAGGAGGAGGAGGAGGAGCAGGAGGAGATGGGGACGGGATGAGAGGAGGAGGAGGAGGAGGAGGAGGAGGAGAAGGAGGAGGGGGAAGAGGAGGAGGCGGAGGAGGAGGAGGAGGGAGCAGGAGAAGGAGGGGAGGAGGCGGTCGAGGAGGAGGAGGAGGAGGAGGAGGAGGAGGAGGACCAGTGCAAACCCAAGACGCATTAACCAAAACGAGCGTTCGCGTCCCTAAGGCGAGAGCCAGATTTTGAAACGGAACCCGTGAAACTCTTGCGAATTATTAAACGGCGTTAGGGCGAGAGCCACATTTTGAAAACGACCCGCTCTCTATCGGTGAAACTTGTGCGATTGATTATTGTGCGCTGCGCTACGGCGGGAGCCACATTTTGGAAGCGACCCGCCGTGCATTTGTGAATTTGCTGCCCATTATTCAGCATCAGGGCCATACGTGGTGAGGGAGTCACAGGCGAAACGCCAGGGCCGCCTTTTCGACCAACCTCGCGGTGCGACAAGGAAGAGTTATCTATAAGGACAACCAATGGAGGACGGGAAGGAGGGGGAGAGAAGGGCAGGAGAGCAAGGAGGGGAGAAGGATAAGAAGGAGAGTCCGAGGTGGAGGTCAGGAGGTCGAAAGAAGGAGCTCGGGAGGAGGACGTAGAGGAGGAGGAGAAGGAGGAGGAGAAGGAGGAGGAGAAGGAGGAGGAGGAGGAGGTGGTGGTGGTGAAGGAGGAGGAGGAGGAGGGTTGTAGAAGAGGAAGAGGTGGTGGTGGTGAAGGGAGAAAGGAGGGAGGAGAGGAGGAATAAGGACGGTGGGGAGGGGAGGAGGAAGAGGAGGAGGCGGAGGAGGAGACGGAGGAGGGAAGGGAGAGAAGAAGGAGGAGGAGAGGAGGTGGTGGTGGTGGTGGTGGTAGTGAGGAGGAGGAGGAGGAGGAGGAGGAGGAAGAGAAGGAGGAAGGAGGAGGAGGGAGCGGGAGTGAGAAGGAGGAGGGAGGCGGGAGGAGGAGGAGGAAGGGACATGCGGATGAGGGACAGTGGCCAGAGAGAGGATGAGAGAGGAGGAGGTGGAGGAGGATGCGGAGGTGGTGGAGGAGAAAACTGGAGGAGGAGGAGGATCGGGGACGGAGACGGAGGCGGAGGCCGATGCGGAGGAGGAGGAGGATGAGGAGGCGGAGGGAGGGGGAGGAAGGAGGAGGAAGGAGAAGGAAGGAGGAGGAAGGAGGAGGAAGGAGGGCGGAGGACGGATGAGGAGGCGGAGGATGATGATGATGATGATGAGGAGGAGGAGGGGGAGCGTGGTGCGAGGGAGGGGAGGCGGAGAACAAGGCGGATGAGGAGGAAGAGGGGTGACGAGGCGGAGGAAGAGGAGGAGGAAAGGAGGAGGAGGAGGAAGCTGATGCTGACGATGATGCTTCTGATGATGATGATGCTGATGATGCTGATGATGATGCTGATGCTGACGCTGATGCTGTTGCTGATGCTGATGCTGATGCTGATGCTGATGGTGACGATGCTGACGATGATGATGCTGATGATGCTGATGATGTGACGGTGATGCTGATGTCGCTGATGATGATGGTATTGATCCTGCTGATGATGAGGATGGTGATTATGCTGATGGTCATGATGCTCATGCTGATGATGGTGGTGCGGATGGTGATGATGATGATGATGATGATGATGATGCTGATGATGATGATGATGATGATGATGATGGTGATACCGATAATGTTGATGATGATCATGCCGATATTGCTACTGTTGACGACGATGATGATGGCGATGATTATCATGATGCTGATGATTGTGCTGACGATCACGATGCTGATGATGCTGACACTGATGCTGATGATGATGAGGTTGCTGATGATTATGATGCTGATGATGATGATGCCGGTGCGTATGATGATGGTTATGATGACGATGATGATGCTGATTATGATGATGATGATGATGATGATGCTGATGACGATGATGATGATGATGATTATGATGATGATGATGATATTGATGCTGATGCTGATGATGATGTTGACGATGATGATGCTGATGATGATGATGATGATGTTGATGATGGTGATGATGATGATGCTGATGCTGATGATGATGATGATGATGATGATGATGCTGATGCTGATGATGATGATGATGATGATGATGATGCTGATGATGATGATGATGATGCTGATGACGATGATGCTGATGATGATGATGATGATGATGTTGATGCTATGATGATGCGATGATGATGATGATGATGGCTGATGATGATGATGATGATGATGATGATGATGATGATGATGCTGATGATGATGATGATGATGATGATGAGGATGAGGATGATGATGATGATGATGATGATGATGCTGCTGATGATGATGATGATGATGATCATGGTGATGATGATGATGATGCTGACGACGATGAAGCGGATGAGGGAATACGGGGGGGGAAGAAGGAGGAGGATGAGGAGGAGGAGGAGGAGGAGGAACAAGGAGGAGGCGGAGGAGGAGGAGGACGGGGAGGGAAGAACGGAGAGTGAGGAGGAGGAGGATGACGTGGAGGAAGGGGAGGAGGATGATTAGCAGGAGGAGGAAGATGAGGATGAGGAGGGGGAGGAGGAGGAGGATGAGGAGGAGGAGGAGGAGGAGGCGGATGGAGGAGGAGGGAGGTGGGAGGTGGGAAGAGGGCGGAGCGATGCGGAAGGATGGGGAGGGAGTAGGAGGAGGGATGCGGGAGGAAGGAGGAGGGAAGCGGACGCAGAGAGGATGGATGAGGGAGGATGGAGGAGTGAGAAGGGATGGGGGAGGAGGGAGGAGGGAGGAGGGAAGAGAGGGGAGGGATGTTGGACGCTGGATGGGGGAAGGGGGGAGGATGGAGGATGGAGGATGGAGGAGGAGCAGGGGGGAGGAGGGAGGAGGGAGGAGGGAGGAGGGAGGAGGATGAGGAGGGAGGAGGGTTGATAGAGGAGGATGGGTGAGGAGCAGGAGAGAGCAGGAGGAGGGAGACGGGATGAGGCAGGGGGATGGATGAGGAGTTGGAGGAGGATGAGGAAGAGGAGGCGGCACGCAGGGAGGAGGAGGATGAGGAGGAGGACAAGAGGAGGAGGAGGATGGAGGCGGGTGAGGAGGAGGATGAGGAGGATGAGAGATGGGAGCATGAGGGAGGATGAGGAGGAGGATGAGGAGGATAGAGGCGGATGATGATGAGGAGGAGATGAGGAGGGGAGGATGACGGATGACGAGGATGAGGTAGGAGGAGGAGGAGGAGGAAGGAAGAGGAGGAGGGAGAGCGGAGGAGGAGGAGAGAGGAGGAGGAGGAAGGAGGAGGAGGAGGAGGGAGGGGAGGGCGGAGGAGGAGGATGAGGAGGAGGATAGGAGAGCAGGAGGAGGAGGAGGTGGAGGAGGAGGAGGAGGAGGAGGAGGAGAGGGGAGGAGTGAGGAGGAGGAGGAGGAGGAGGGAGGAGAGAGGAGGAGGAGGAGGAGGGAGGAGGAGGAGGCGGAGGCGGAGGAGGAGGAGGAGGAGGAGGAGGAGGAGGAGGAGGAGGAGGGAGGAGGGGAGTGGGAGGGGGAGGGGGAGGGGGAGGAGAGGAGGAGGAGGAGGAGGAGGAGGAGGAGGAGGAGGAGGAGGAGGAGGAGGAGGAGGAGGAGGAGGAGGAGGAGGAGGAGGAGGCGGAGGAGGAGGAGGAGGAGGAGGAGGAGGAGGAGGGAGGAGGGAGGAGGATGAGGAGGAGGAGGAAACACATGTTCGGGCGTGCGGTGCAGCCGAGGCGGATCCGTACAGTATGTCGATCTTGCCAACTCAAGGGCACCCTTGTGTCCTTTGTTTTGCTGCACATGCCTTCTGAAGCCTTGGTGCAGCGTTGCCTCGGAATGGTCCTGTATCCTCTCGCGTGTCCTGCCCAGTCAATCCCGACTGTAATGGGGTCTGCCACGCGTAGAGGGGGTAGGGGGGAGGGAGGAGGGAGGACATAGGGAGAAGCAGGAGGAGGAGGATGCGGCAGGAGGGGGAGGCGGAGGAGGAGGAGGAGGAGGGATAGGAGGAGGAGGAGGAGGAGGAATAATACGAATAATAATAACACTCATCATGATAATAATAATACTAAGAAGACTACGAATAAGAAGAAGAAGAATATTAATCAGAAAAAAAGGAGGAGGCGGAGGAGGTGAATGAGGAGGAGGAGGAAGAGGAGGAGAGGAGGAGCAGGAAGAGGGTGAGGAGGAGGGCGGAGGCGGAGGAGAGTAGGAGGGGAGGAGGCGGAGGATGAGGAGGAGGCGGAGGATGGAGTAGGGAGTGGAGGAGGAGGAGGAGGAGGAGGAGGCAGGAGGAGGAGGAGGAGCGGAGGAAGAGGAGGAGGAGGAGGAGGAGGAGGAGGAGGGGGAGAAGGAGGACGAAACGATGCCGAGGAGGAGGAGGAAGCAGGAGGAGGAGAAGAGGGATGAGGAGGAGGATTGAGGAGGAGCAGGAGGAGGAGAGAGAAGGAGGACGGGGAGGGGAGGATGAGGAGGAGGAGGAGGAGGAGGAGGAGGAGGAGGAGGAGGAGGACGAGGAGGACGATGGGAAAGAGGAGGTCTGGGTCCGCGCACAGTCGAAAAGGAGGAAGAGGAACACTACGAAGAATAATAACAATAATCACGATAATACTAATAATAATACTAAGAAGAATACTAGTAAGAATCAGAAGAAGAAAAACAGGAGGAGGCGGAGGAGGTGAATGAGGAGGAGGAGGAAGAGGAGGAGGAGGAGGAGGAGGAGGAAGAGGAGCTTGAGGAGGAGGGCGAGGCGGAGGAGTAGGAGGAGGAGGCGGAGGAGGAGGTGAGGAGGCGGAAGCAGGAGAGGACGTAGAGAGGGAGGAGGAGGAGGAGGAGGAGGAAGAGAGGAGGAGGGAGGAAGAGAAGAGGAGGAGGAAGAGGAGGAGGAGGAGGAGGAGGAGGAGGAGGGGGAGAAGGAGGACGAACACGATGACGAGGAGGAGGAGGAAGAGGAGGAGGAGAAGAAGGGATGAGGAGGAGGAGGAGGAGCAGGAGGAGGAGAAGGAGGACGGGGAGGGGGAGGAAAAGGCAGGGGGATGGAGGACGAAGGACCATGGCGGGCGGGCGGTCATTTTGATTGACCTAACTCAGACCCCTTCGAGTCATGAAACAATCACGACGGGAGGTTGTTACATAGTTTCTGTTTTTTGGGGCCCGTAAGCCTCGGGGCCGTCAGAAACGGGCTCAGGATCTTACGAGTGACCGTGGCCCTGGAGCGTGATCCTGCGTAATTTGCGAGGAAGATCTGCCTTGGGAGCGCGAATCCTGTGTACTGTTGTAGTGACCGTGACCTTGAGAGCGTGATTTCTGCGTAATGTATGAGGAATCAGGGCCCTGGGAGCGCGGATGCCGCGTGATGTACGATTGATCGTCGCGTTGGGAGCGCGGACGCAGCGTAGTTTACAAGTGGTCGTAGCCTAGTCCGACTCCGCGGTGTCTGGGGGGTGGAGGGCGGGGAGGGAGGCAAGCCGCGTCTTACGGAGCAGAAAAAAGGGCTTGCCTGAGAGCGCGGTCCCGTGCCACGTCCCGTGGCACGTTCCCTGGCGCGTCGCCTGGCGCGTTCCCTCGCACGTTCCGTGGCGCGTCGTGCGGCGCGTCCTTTGCACGTCCCGTGGCATGTCCATTTGCACGTTCCGTAGCGCGTCCCCTTGGCACATCCCGCGGTGCGTCCCCATGGCACGTCCCTTGGCACGTCCGTTGGCGCGTCCCTTGGGATGTTTCGCGGCGCGTCCCCCCTGGCATGCCCCCCTGGCATCGCCCAGTTGCATATGCAATTGAGGCCTTTAGAACCGGTTCCATGCCTCGCAGTTCTCAATATCTTGCCAGGTTCGTGGGTCGACCATGCTCCAAGCAAGCGCCTAGAAAACGCGCACTCATATCTATATGTATACACACAGACACAGGGCTGGATATCAACGCTGTTTTGCTGGACTTCGGCTGTGTGTTGTGGTTTGGTTTGGCCGGGGATACAGGAACACATGTAGAACAGACCGAAAAGCAAGACGAACACAGCAACAAACAACGTTTGGGTCCAGCCCTGCACAGACAGATGTATCGCAGCGAGGGCCACGAGACTTTCATTTCAGTCCCCCGCTCCGTCGTCAAAACGCACCCTGCCCCCTCCCCACCCCCTTCGTCCGCGCACATGCGGCAATGATGTGCGAACCACCCCCCTCCTGGCCCCCACTCTTAAGTCGGGCATGTCCTTCTACAGGAGGAATATTCAAAACTAGTCAAACATAGTTTGGGGACGATTCCTCTTTCTTATTCTTGGCGGCAATGTTTGATAACTGTTTGAACATGGTTTTTTTTTCGCCCGGAGTCCTCCTCTAGGAGGACATGCCCGACCTGACCCCACTCCCTGGGCGCGCCCGAAAACACGCTGCACTCCTCACCCGACGACGGGGTCACCGGACCGCCTGGAGACTCCGACTGGGCGACGCCCGAACAGCAGGCTCGATTGCTTGGACACTCGCGCGCAGGCTGCCCGCTCACGGTCTCGCGTACAGCTTGGGCCCCCTGCCAGGAATCACTTTGTTTGCTTCCAGGGTGCCCTGGGTTTCTTGGGCCTCGATTGTTTTTTGCGATGGGAGCTGTGACGTTCTCACACCAACAATCAATGGACGTCCTGGGGGTCTCAGGGCTGGGTTTCTTGTGAAAGGTCTCTTGTGGTCGGGCCTCTACTGTAAGCGCCCTCGTCGCCAGTGTGGTGTTCCGCCCCTTCGGCGGCCTGCGTGAGCCTCCGCGGAGAGTCGCCGTGCCATCTCGCGCAAGGCCCTCGAAGGAAGAAACACGGGGACCATGACCAAGATGCCGCAGGATCTTGTCGATGCCGATCTCGGTCATGGTCCTTGGTGGCCGTCGCCGATACGCGAGGTTGACCGACGAAATGATGCTGTTGAATCGGAGGGGGGAGATGCGACACCAACACCACCAGGGGGGGCCACCAGCGAGGAGGTCCACGATGCCTCCCCGAGCTGGAGGCTGGGGATGTCTCGAGCGAGAAGGGGGGATCACACCACCAGGGAGACCCCTTTAGCTCGTCGCATCTCCCCACCCTGGTGTTGCTGGTGTCGCCTTTCCCTGTTCTTAGTTCAAGATCCACAGTGACCAAACTCGGCACGACGTTTTTGTGTTCCGTCTTGGTCATGGTTCCCGTTTTTCTCTCCCTCCAGACGCTTCTTTTCGTCGCTCAATTGTTGGCCTGCCTACCTCCTCCGCTGGACTGATAACGACTGCAGGCCCGAGTTCCGGCACGACAGGCGGCGGCGGCAAAGTCGGCCAGCAGGGCGGCACTCAGAGCAGCCAGGTGAACAGTCGCCATGACGACCATCTCCGATAAAGCGCTCAGGCTCAAAAGGGATCCTTGATGAACAAATCGTCGCTCCGCTGGAGCATTCTTTTGGAAGGAGGAGGAGGAGGAGGAGGAGGAGGAGGAGGAAGAGGAGGAGGAGGAGGAGGAGGGGAAGGAGAAGGAGGAGCAGGAGGAGGAGAAGAGGAGGAAGAGGAGGAGGAGGTGGAGGAGGAGGAGGAGGAGGACCTCCCCATCCTCCCTTTTCCCCCGTCCTACCTAGTGTAGGTGTGGTGGACAATGGGCCTATCGTCCAGACGTTTCTTGTCGTCGCTCCACCGGGACACTCTCTGGGCGGTGCCGGGGCGCCGCCCCCCCCCGCAGTCGGGGGCGGGGCCAGCCCCCACCCCCCGACCTGGTGCAGGACCTGGCCGTGCCCTACGGCCTCCTGCACTGCGAGGCCGCCGCGCCCGCTCTCGGCGGCTTTTTTGGCCGGCGCCCCCGCCCCACTCGGCGGCGAAGTCCTAACCCTCAAGCAGTGGCGAAGCGTCCTGGCTCGCCTATAGGCCCACCAAATAATGTTATGATAACCTGTTGTGGCCTGCACGACATGATCTTAGAACATGTCTGGATGGGACTGTCTTTATTTAACACATCCGGTCTATGTTGTCAGAACATTGTGCTTGTCCTTGGAACCCTTTCGGGTTCTAAGAACATGTCGTGATAGGCCTATAGACAGGCCAGGACGGTCGGCCCCTGCTCAAAACCCTACCGCAAGCATACATGCTCGCGTCGTGAGAGAAGCCCAGTGATGGCCCTATATGGGCCATCACCGGGCCCCCGGGACCGCTTAAAAACAATACAGGATGAAGAATTGGTCCCAAGAAAGGGGTCCACGTAGTGAAATAATCACGACGTCGCATGTCTGGGGCTCCGATCGACGACTCGGGCAATTTGATTGGCGGGTATAGGGGTTGGAATTCGTCGAGGAGCACGTGGCGCAATCCGTTTCCTGCCCCCGCCTCCCATCGATTCAGGAGAAAGGATGGATGATGCGGCCAAAGTTTGGGTGTCGCCACCTACCTACCACCCCAGAGATCTGGCGGCTCGAACAGATCGAGACGGCCAGCTTGTCATCGCTGTGGCCTCTGGGGAGAGGTTGGATTCTGTCACCGAGCCCGTCGACAAAAGCAACTCAGCAGATTGAGAAGCTGGTTCCAGGCCAGACAAGGGCGGGGGACAGAACGTACCCCTAGAGAGACTGGGGGGGCGATTAACGAGAGGAGGAGTAAAAGCAACGGAGGGAGGGAGTGCAGGAGGGAGGGCGGGAGGAAGGAGAAAGAGGGGAGATGCAGAGTTTGAGGAGGCAGGAGGGAGGAGACAGGAGGGATGGAGGGAAGAGGATAGAGGCGGACTAGGAGGGAGGAGGCAGGAGGGAGAGGGGAGGAGGAGGAGGAGGAGGAGGAGGAGGAAGAGGAGGAGGAGGAGAGGGAGGAGCATGGATGAGGAGGGAGGAGCAAGTAGGAAGAGGAGACGGATGAAGGATGAGGGTGGAGCGAGGAGGAGGGAGAGGTCTGGGGGCTGATTTTCGAGGAGTCGCCGTCGCCTTGGACCTCCTCGGCTTGAGCGGCGGTCCACTTCGGTAGCTTCGTCGTCGTCGTCGTCGTCGTCGTCGTCGTCGTCTCGGCGGGCCTCGGCCTTAGCGGCGGAGCCGTGAGCAACGAGAGCCGAGTAAGACCCAACTGCACAGACACGCACTTGCGGAGGTCCGCGCGGATGTGTTGGGCCGCTGCCCGGCCCCGAGCCAAGACGTCTGCGCGAGCCATCGGTTTTGGTCTGTGCCTTGCTGTTTGTACAGAGAGAAAGTGAGGGAGGGAGGGAGGGAGAGAGAGAGAGAGAGGAAGCGAGAGGGATGGAAAGGGAGAGAGAGAGAGAGAGAGAGGGAGGGAGGGAGAGAGAGAGAGAGAGAGAGAGAGTGGGAGGGAGGGACCGCACGGCGGGGTCGTGCTCGCCCCCGCTTCGGGTCCGGGGCCCTCGTGCCTGGGCGCTGGGCGGTGCCCGCGCTCCCCCCCTCGAGCCGCGGGCCCCCCCACCCCCGTCGGGCCCCCCCCCCCCCCGCGGCTCGAGGTGGAGACTCCGGCCCTCTGGGGGGGAGGCCCTGTGTAGGGCCCCGGGCCCGTCTCCCCCGGGGCCCGCTCCCCCCCCGCAGGCGAAAGCCTTGCACGGCCCCCCATTTCCCCTCCTTCCCCCCCCCCCCTTGGTCGAGATCCGTTTGGCGCTCCCGCCCCCCCCCCCCTTCTTCCGACGGCAAGTCATGGGAGCCTGGCATACATTCTCAATCCCGATCCACGCACTGTTTTCTGGACGGACCGCACAATATTGGACCTGCGTACCCCCGTGGCGGACCCCGACCCACGATGTGGACCCACAACGCGCGCTGATGTCTGTCTGCACGCAGAAGCACGGGCCCTCCGGGCCTGCGCGTCCCTCTTTCCCCCTTCTACACATCAACGCGTCCGTGCTCCTTGCTTCCCTTCACCTCCGTTCTCCTCGCTCTCTTCTTCTGCAGACTGTTTGGTTCCAGCTGGGCCTTCACAGTCTGAAGCACACCCACACATTCTACTTGCATCGGGCAATTTCTGGTCGGACCACCTGTCTAACAGATGGCCCGTCTCTTGTTGATTGCCGGCCTCGTCGGGGCACGCGGTGCCGCTGGCCTGGGCATGGCTCCCGCCGATTCCAGCAACAACGGTAACGCCTTGCAGCTGACAACGGCTGCAACGGCGACGTCCCCGACACCAGCTCCCGGGTGGACGCGAGTGCTTGAGTGGCAACAGTTGCCCTGGGACTGCAATCGTGTTTGACCTTCCGAAGGATGATATCCCTGCGCTTGCAATGGCTGCTACCCGAGTGAAGTTTGGAAACTTCAATACAGGGAAATATGTCGTGAGCTTGCCGAACACCTTCCCAATCGATGACATCAGGGCTTTTAGGCCGATTGGGATGGGCAGATACCCCTCGCTTCGCAGACTGCGCGTCCAGAACCCGTCAAGTCTGGGCGTTACGACCGCCCACTCCCCCTCCTCCTCCTCCTCCTCCTCCTCCTCCTTATCCTCCTCCTCTCCCCGCCTTCCCCCACTCTCCCCCCTCCGGGGCCCCTCCGCATCGATTCCTTTTCTTCCTCCCCTCCTGCTTCCACTTCCTCTTTCTCTTCCTCCTCCCCCTCTCCTCTTCGTTTTTATGTTGCTCCTCCTCCTCCCCCTCCTCATCCTCCTCCATATTATCCCCCTCCTCTTCCTCTCGGGGCCCGCTTGACGTAATCCTGGTCTTTTTTGGGGCCTCGTTGGGGCTTCTTCGTGGTTATTGGGGCCATCTTGGGCTGTCTTGGGGCTCTCCTGAGCCGCGTTGGGGCCCCATTTGGCCGTCTTGAGCCCATGTTGGACAATCTTGGAGGTCTTGGGGACTCCCTCGGGGCCCCCGTGTGCCGTTTTTGGACGCTCTTGGGGTGTCGTGGGGCCCGTTGGGGGCCTCTTGGGCAGACATGAGGCCATCTTTGAGGCAGCTTGGGCCGTCTCGGGCTGTCAGAAGCCCGACCAGGCGAGGATGTGAACATTTTTCAAACACGCATGGAAAAAACACGATGTTGGCATCTGTACGCGCTCTTGGGAGTCCTCTTGGAGCTCTCTTGGGGCGTCTTGGGGCCCTCTTGGGTCGTCCAGAGCTCTTGAGGTCCTCTTCGGAGCGTCCTTGGGCCGTCTTCGAGGCCTATCGGGCCCTCTTGGCCGCGCGGTGGCGTCCCTGTGGGAATCCCAGGGCGACCTAGAGCGGCCAGGAATTTGAGGCACGCCCGCTTCATTTTTGTATGCGTGTATATATATATATATATATACACACATATTTTTTCATACATATTGGTTTTCCTTTGAGTTTTGCGGCCCCGAGCCAACAAAACAAAAACAGTGCTCAACAGTGCTTTCCAACGGATTCCTTTTGCGAGGCTTTCCACTAGAACCCCTTCGTAGCGTTTTCCAAAGGATTTCGATTGTGAAGCTTTCCCGTAGAATCCATCTGCTCAGTTTTTCCGGGGGGGTGGGATACCCCAGGGCCTGTATACACATACACACATGCGGCAGGCCTTCTGGTACGTAGCCAGAAATGCGGAAGCAGACAGGACCGGAGAGACAAGAGAACAAACAAAGACAATGCAGATAACAGAAGACAGCCGTCCAGCAGCCAGCAGCATCCCGTCCAGCCATGCGCCCCCCAGGGGGGCTGGCGGATTACTGCGCAGGAGGTCGATCAGTATTGGGAGGTGGACCCTGCTAACCCGTGGGTGAGGGAGGAGCTCCGAATCCCATATGCGTACTCGGGTCAGACACTGGACAGCTCCGTCTTTATGTCATACGGGAATGCCAACGGGGCGCACTGGATCCATAATCAGGCAAATTGGCATTACGATTCCAATTCGCAGCCGTTTGAACTCTGGATCGATGCGACGGCGGCGCCACCTCCGACGCCCAGTCGTGCCCCTGGCGCGGGCGGTGCAGGTGCAGGAGCTTCTGCTGTTGGGGACCCTCACTTGCAAAACATTCATGGCGAGCGGTTCGACTTGATGAAGGCGGGCAAGCATGTTCTGATCAACATCCCTCGTGGAATGAGTGCTGAAAAAACCTTGCTTCGTGTGCTCGCCGATGCGCGCCGGTTGGGTGGACAATGCGCGGACATGTACTTCCAGGAGCTCAACGTTACCGGATCTTGGGCAGAGGACAAGCAAGCCGGAGGCTACCACTACAGCGTAACGCAGCACGACGCCAAGAGTCCAGAGTGGGTTTCGTTTGGCAAGGTCGAGCTCAAAGTCGTGCACGGACGCACGGACAGCGGCCTCTTGTACCTGAACTTGTACGTGAAGCACTTGGGGCGAGCGGGATTCGCAATCGGAGGGCTACTCGGAGAAGACGATCATGGGGACGTGAGCGCTGCGCCAGATTCATGCGCGCAGCGCTTGGCCCTCGTGGCTGGAACGCGCGGCGGCGAGGGCCAAACGCTTTTGTTCGCAGTAGCAAGCCTCGCTTGACCATGATGGCGTGGACGCTACCTATACGGGCTCCCGCCTCTGCCGCCGACCTTTCGGGCTGGGCCACGACAGGATACTCCACTCCTCAGCCCTCTTCCCCCTCGTTGTTGGGGTGCGTTCTGGTCCCTCGCGGCCATCTCTCGGATGCTTCTGAGGAGGAGGAGGAGGAGGAGGAGGAGGAAGGAGGAGGCCTCTCGATGGCTTCTCGGGGCACTCTTGGGGCCAGACTGGGTCGTGGACAAGACGCCTCTTCGTTGGGGGTTCTTGGGGTCTCCTGGGACGCCTCTCGGGGGCCTCTTGGCGACATTTTTTGGCGATCTCCTGAGGCTTTTTGGGGGGACAGTCTTTTTTGGGCCACTTCGTATCGCCAGCCTGCGTTCTGACAG